AGGCGATTCCCCGCCAGCTACTCCTCCAGCATCCCCCGTGTCCTCGGCCTGGCAGCCGTTTCCCGAGGAAGATTTGGACTCCCCCCAGTTCAGAAGGCGAGCACACACCTTCAGCCACCCTCCCTCCAGTGCCAGGCGGAGGATAACCTTCCAGAACGGGAGGTCCCAGAGCGTCCGGTCCCCGCTGCTACGGCAGAGCTGCGTTGAGACAACAAGGTGAGTCAGGGCAAGCTGTGCCACACGCCTGCTGTCTCCTGCATTTCGGTACGTGAGGCTCACCCGTGTTCCTTGCAGAAGCTGTTTCTGCACTGCCCTGGAGTTTTTAAATTTATTTGTTTTCACCCCATCTTCTCTGCCTCCGAGCAGTTTGGTGCTTTGCAGTAGCTCGCTAATCCCTGCATGAGTGATTCAGGGAAACTCAGTCTCATAAACTGATCATTGGGCTAGATGCCGGTGCCAATCTGTTTGTTTACGTATCTGTCATCCCTGAGCTGAGTTGTTTTGGCAGTGTTGGTAGTCAGACCCTCTGGAGAAGAGGCTCTCACTGCTTTTAGCTGCAGAGACGATAGCCTGACAGTTTTATGCCAGGATGAAAAAGGCACCGACAGCTTCAAGTGTCAGTCTCTGTGTTAGCCAAGCTACCAGAGAGTATGTCCAGAATTATAACTGGTGAGGAGTCTTACAGAAGGACTTAGGGATTAAGCGCCTTCTCTGAACTGTGAGGCTTGCAATTTCCCTGTTTGCCTTTTTCCGGAGCTTCGCTCTGTAACTTCTTTCCCCTTCCTTTCTGGAGACTCTCCAGCTATTAACATGTGGAATACTGTTCCTTCATTCAGTCAGAAGAGGTCCCCACGGTTCATTGTGGGCCTCTGTGGTTGTACTCTCTTTCTCTGCCTTCATCCTGGCTGTCTGCAGTAAGTGACCAGGCAAACTCCAAAACCTTTAGAAGATCCAGGCCCAAAGTAGCTGATTTTTTTTTTCTGTTGGAGGAGCACTTTCTCCAAACTATTTGTCTCTTTCAGTGCTTGGCTGCAACTATGCTTTTTTGGGTCCTTTCTAAAAATGGCTTTAAATAATAACTTCTCAACGTTTGTCTAGATGAAAATATCAATATGAATGCTGTACCAGCTTGTAGAGAAAGGCAAAATAAGTCTGTTCTGCTCAAAAGAAAGGAAGGGGGTGAAGGGTAAGAAAGTAGCCTTGAAATAGCTTGTTACATTGTGTTTCTGAAGAGATAAATAATGTGTTTTTTACTGAGATAAACTTCAGTTGTTTTTTTTTCCACTGACCATGTTGTGTGGAAACAGGAAACCCTGACAGTTCAAACTGAAGGACTTGCTGACTTCACTTCTTTGTAATAACTTTTAAGAAGTCACTGATTAAGTGGCATCATCAGCAGGTTTTCAGTCAAAACAATTTGTGACAACTTGGTTCTAGGCTGGGATTTTTCCTTCTCTCCTTTCCCATTGAGGATGAATAAAAATGTTAAAGTAAAAGAAACTGGATTAATTTTTATGTTCCCTCAACACTTTTTACTATTATTAAGTAAAGCTGAACTGTGTAGTAGCACTATCTTTCTTGTTTTAAAAACTTCACAAAAATTTATCAAAAAATATTGCATTTAAATAATCTCTACTTTCTAATGTGCTCTAGCAATACACTTTGTGTTATTTACAAAAGCAAGAGAAAACTGGAGGGAAGAAGCCAGGTGGTTCATGTTATTTGAAGCAGTTTTCTAAGGATATTTTCTGAATGTTTCAGAGATTCTTTTTCTCAATTTGCTTTGAGAATAAATGAGGCTAAAGAACTAAGTTGGTCTGTCTGTTCTGCAATGTCAATAAAATGTTTCTGAAAAGAAATCGGCTGTAACAGCAAAATCAATATCGTCAGGTTGACTGCTCACCTGGTACATGTTATCTTCTGAGAAACAAAGTTACTGTAAGCCAAGATGAGGTACTTGGCCAGTATCTTTAATCTAGATGTTTTGTTGTTGTATCCTAATCCATGCTGACCCATCTGCTATGTTCTCTTGTTGCCCGCACAGCCCTATTGTCGGGGTTCGGCGCGCTCTCAGTGAATCCGCGTCGCCTGGTCTCCCCTCCTCTGTCTCTGCCCCTTCTTTCCTGAAAAGCTTTTACCAGGGCTCAGGAAGGTTGCTCCAGCACTCAGAAACTGACCTCTCCAAGAGGTGAGAGCATTGTCTCCTGCCTAGTTCTTCAGTGCCACCAGCTTTTAACAACAGGATTCCTAGTGCAATGCAGCACATGGGATCTCTCGCACTCTGCCTAGTGCTCCTGCATTTCTAACAGACTTCCGAAGTACTTGATGCAAATGGGTGAACAGGCTTTTGGCCAAAAAAGCCTGTTAAAAATAGAGGCTTGTCTGCTGACATCTTAGTAGTTGTGATCTATTTCTGTTTCCGTGTTGCAAATCTGTTGCATTGGTTTGTCACTTGAAATGCAATGGTTTTCCGGAGTGTTACACCAATTTAATGCTTTCTCTGCTGAATGCAAACCAGCATGTGTTGCTGTGATTATTTGCATGTGAAAATAAGAGAAGAGCAATGTGAAGGGTGCACAGTACTAACGTGGGATGCTTGTGCGTGAGGAAGGGGAAACACCGAGTTATCTGGGTGATGCGAGCTAAGAGATGTTTAGTGAGAATCGGAGGATAACTTGCAGTTAAAGAGGAGTGGGGACGAAGCAAAGATACCAAAGGGCTTTCTGACATTGGTGTGAAAGACTAAGTATCTGAATGGAAGTCACACTTCTTTTCACTGTAAGAATAGGCCCTCCTTCAGGAGAGTGCTTGAGGAAACTGCATATGGGTTATTTTCCTGAAGTAGGCCTGTAGTGAATGAAGTGGAGCCATAGTTCTGAACTTCATTATGGTTTTTTGCCAGTTGCTGGCCTTTTTATTTCTCTTCTATAAATGACAACTCCTTTTTCCTTCATCAGTCTGTCTTGTTCACTTGTTACTTGTGTTTCTAGTACTCTTTATCTCTGAATGTGACCACAATGGTAAATTGTCTAGATTCACTTTCTGATAGAGGAATAATGTGAACTAATAGTTAGTTAATTTTAAAAAGTTTTTCCAAAAACAGTCTTAGAAATAACCTCACGGTTTTGAAGAAGGAGTCACTTTAAGGTTATCCCACCTTTCTACCCAAGCACAAATGAATGAGGAATAAGCAGTGTATGGTTTTGAAATTTGAGAGGAGATTGACGTCTCATTCAGTGTAGAAGTAGGCTTTTAATGCTGCCTGTTCTAAACCTTGTGTCCAGTAATAATTACTATATAAGTGAATTAGATGCCTAGATTTTCCATTCCCTACTGCACTGCAGTAATACTAGACTAAGTAGCTGGTAAATTATTAAAGTTGAAATAAAAGAAACTGATGAGTGCACACCAGGGTATGCAGAGAAATGGAAAAAAAAATAAAAAAAAAGCCTATCCCTGATGGGCTACCTCTTATTTGGGTTCCAGTCCAACTTTGTTTCTGTGTTCCCTTGAGTTAGCAGACTTGGTCCAAGCTGAACCAATGCCCAGGTCAGTTTGTACATGCAGCTGGATCCCATTAAACTCAACTTTCTGGATTTAGGGAATGCAGGTATTGAGTATTGTACTAAAACTGTGCTTTAATGCCAGCTAATTCAAAGCTGAAATTTCTGAGATATTACTCTTTCTGGAGTTGGTGATGCATGCTAGTCAAGATACCGTGTTTCATTATAATGGAGTTTTGAACTATAAGGTGGGGAGATCTTCAAACTAGGAGTAATTCCCGGAAGACCACCCTGTTTCTACTTAGGTTTTATAGTATACAGGTTTCTGAAACCTTTTAATCTTGAATTTGTGAGAAAACTCTTAGGAAAATGGGATCTTATTAGCTATAGAGCTTGCTGGGAGCAACTGGGCCTGAACTGTCATGGTAGGGAAATTGCAGTAGCAAGGATGAAGTGTTGGCATCTACTTGTGTTTGTGAACTGAATACAGCACTTATAGTCAGAAAGAAGTGCCGGGTGGATAATGCTGATGTGATAGGAGCGACTGAGGTAATCCCACTGTCCCTTGAACTGAAATGGAGAGTGAAATATATTGTCCAACTGATAGTGACTGAAACTCTTTAAACTTTCCCTAATTTATCTTGCAAATGTGTGTTGTGCCATCAAGTTTATGAATGAGAGGAAGTTTAAATCTTTTATGGTGTTGTTTTTTTTTTTTTTTTCTGGGTTGGTTTGTTGGGGTTTTTTTTCTCCTTTGGCTGTTTTTCAGAGAGAGGACCATCTTCTGCCCCTGGTAGGCTCAACATGAGGTGTTCTTAGCTTCTTGTGTGAGTTAGGATGGAATTGAGCGCAGTGGGGCAGTCCTTTACTCTGAAGACTATAAGCAGCTTAACTGTTAGGAACCCTAATTAAAACTTCAGTGCATTTTCCTCTCTCAGAATAATCATGGTTACTACACATTCATGAAGTGTATTCTAGCCA